ACAGCATGATAAGATTGTATCAAATGCTAAATCAAGATAAATGTCATTCTATTCCTACAAACTTTTTAGTGTTTGTTTTAAAACATCCTTAATGCTTTTTTTGGTAGTCTATGGGTTTAAAATATGATCTTACCTACTACCAAGGTCACTTAACATATTATGTTTTAAAACTCAATTTCACTTTCTCCAACCTTGTCTTCATCCATTCTAGGACTGACCAGACCTAAAGTAAGAAAGAATTGGTAAAAATCATGGTTCTAAAAAGTGCGCCATGGCGCGCCTCAAGGTGTGCTATGGCGCAAGGCGTGGTGTAGCCGTTACGAAAACGTTTAAAGTGGGTTTGTGAAGCGTGGCGCCCAAATAACATGTCAAGGCGTGTCTTATCGCGTTATGGTGCAAGTTTTTTTCAAGGCGTGAGTCTTTTTTTTTTTTGTTTTTTTGTTTTGTTTTTTTATCGGACATAAAATATGAGTTTTTGTTAACCTTTTTCTATTAGATATTAATATATTACTTCTAAAAACTTCATATATTTGATAAAATTCAATAATTATATGATTTATATCTTTTAATGTATATAATATAGTCACGCCTTGAAAAACGCCATGGCTCGCCAAGGCTTGTCATGACTTAACTTTTACCTTGCCGCCAAGCCACGCCTTACGTTATTTAGAACCTTGGTAAAAATGGTGGTGGTGGATGCTATCCCCTCTTAAAGGAAACTTATCTTTTCTTGACAGCTTCATTTTAAAACCATCATTACCGCCACAAAATGTCGCATGAATAGAGAATAACAAAACCTTATCTTTTTTGTCTTTTGGTAGGAATCTCATGGGATAAGATTATGAATGCTAAAATGTACATCAACTGCTATGACAATGTGGCGAACTGGAACAGCTAGTGAAGCAACATTTTTTTGAAGCCAAGAAAGGATTTTGGGCAAAAATTAACGAAATCCCAGTTAGCAATCCTCAGCATACTCCAGATCCAGAAATGTATAACCATGACATTGATTGGAATCCAGAGATTGATCTTGAATTAGTCAAGGATTTTGATCGAGTATATTTCAACCTTGATGAACCATAACAAGTTGAAACTTTGATGTGATAAAGAGCAACAATACCAGATTCACTAAATTACAACCAAATTCAATACAAGATTCATGGAAATCATTGAAAGTTACTCCGAATCGCAAGCCCTAGAATCCAGAAACAAAACTTACAAAATAATTTCACCCAACTGAAACACTGGATCAAAACGTATCAAATCTTTACAACCTTTTTTCAATGAAAAAATAGTTAAACCAACATATCGATTTAGCAAAGACGCAAATGAATAGCTTAAGATGAATCCTTGCCTTCATATATTCATTTCTATTAACCAAAAAATAATTTTAGAGTTCCGGTGTGGGAGACAAACACTAAGCTCTATTAAAGAGGGGTAACCGAGTTACCCTTTAATTTTTTAGATAATGATGTTATTAGCCATAAAATATTGAGTTTAAGCCTCTAAACTACAAAAATAAACATTAGGGATGTTTTAAAACAAACACGAAAAGTTTGTAGAGCTAGAATGTCATTAACCCACAAATATATGACTATCTAAGTGACAAATTGTATGTATGAATGAATTAACCAACAAAAATGAAGTTTAGGTTTTTATTATCATAATTCTTTAAATATGTCATCCAACTATTGTGACGTCCCCGACTTTTAGAACCGATTTTTTTTTATTTAAGTTTTAAATATCTTGGTTTGTAGAAAACTCCAGTATATTAAAACTTTTTTAGTATAAATGATTGTCTCAAACTAAGGATGTCATAATCAATACAATACATAAGTTACAACATAAGGACTTAATGGTCATGAATACTATTACATATCTTCTCTTTAATCACCCAACATCCTATTCAGATTTTCAACACTTTTAACATTGCTACCTATGAGGCATATAAATTGAGTGGGTCGGTTTTGGAAACCTGGTGAGATACATAGGTTTTCAATCCCATAATGCTATGTTAATCAATAACCTGCAAAACCAATAGTTATTCAACAAAACATCATAAATATCTATAAGACCTTTTCCCAAATTACTTATCTCATCAATCCCGACATACTAATCCTAATATAGTAAGATCTATCTTGTTGGATCATTATACACAATGAGTTGACTATGCTGGTTCGGGGTATCCTTGGCAGAAGGTGTTAGTAAATAAAGGCAACTATACAGGGGATATAGTACAAAGAATGAACATACAGTCCATTAACACCTGCAAACTATAAGTCTATTAGTGTATTTCACAAGACTAGGTTTAGTCAGTGGTCGTCATCCCACTCTGGCAAATGACTCCGACATACGTCCTGATGGTCTGATATAGACTTACCCTTTCCGGTTATCTAAAAAGGAGGGGGCATACTAATATAGTACTCATGTACATAAAACGCACCACATCAAATCACAACAATGTTATCAAACAAAGTTCTACTCTCTGTTCTAGTCTGACACACACCCTTAATAGATTGTTATCCAATGTCCAACCTTAATTGAACTGAGCATCTCCTCAAGCCCTTAGTGTATAACTAGGCAAGATTACAATGCCCCACAATCAACCTTCTAAAGGAATCTAGATTATTCCAATGAATAGATAATCATAGATGTTCATATGTATCTATTTGTTTTTCATTATCTTTTACTGAATTTTAGGATCTCAGGATATATATATATATATATATATCCTGTTTTCTTTTGTATTTAATATAAGTCACGTTATGAATGAAAAATACAGTGCAAAAATTCTTAATTAGATCTTTCATGGGATCAGAGCCTATGATCCGTTAGGTCATAGGTTAACGAAGATCATGACAGGGGAGAAAGGAGATCGAAGCAAGAAGGATGAAGATTTCATTTATGCCAATTCACCCTTCTATATCCACCCGTTTGACTACCCGAAACAGATGCAGGTTAACGACATATTGAACGACAATAATTTTAGTGAATGGAAGTAGGAGATGACTAATTTTCTATTTGCAAAGAATAAGATAGGACTGGTCGATCCGTCAGTCAAGAAGCCGGAACCAACAATAGCTACGTACATGGCTTGGATGCGAGCCGATGCCATGGTGAAGGGATGGATGACAACATCCATGGAGAAAGACATTGGAACTAGTGTTAGATATGAAAATACTTCAGCCGGAATCTGAAAGGACCTTGAAGAAAGATTCGAGAAGGAGGGATCTTTTGTCTCTTCTTATTACACGAAACTAAAGGCTGTATGGGATGAACTGTAGCTTGTTCTTCCCATGCCCCGTTGCACGCGTGACAATTGTGACTATGAATTGGGAAAAAGAATAAGTGAACTTAAAGAAAAGGAGAAGATCTATGAGTTTCTCATGGGACTCGATGATGATTTTTCTGTCATCCGTACACAAATACTTGCTATGAAGCCAACTCCCTCCTTGGGGGTAATATACCATCTAGTGGCTGAAGATGAGCAACAACGAGCAATTTCTGGAGGTTCAAGAAGATTTGGTGGTGAAGCAGTGGCTTTTCAAGTGAATTTAATAGGGAAGAAAAACGCACGAGGGCAAGGAACTCAATCAGCTAGCAAGCCCATTCCAAAGACATTCAAGCAAAGTAATGACAAGGCAGAAAAATGCACCTTTTATGGGAAAGATGGTCACAATAAGGATGGGTGTTTCAAGAAGATAGGGTATCCGGACTGGTGGCCCAGGAAGAAGGATAAACTTAAACCGAAGGCAGCTTGCGTGGAGATGGGTCCTAGCCCTATATCAGGGCTAACCGATGAGCAATATCACCTCTTTGTGGAGCACTTCAAGGAGGAGTCACTCAATGAGACAATTCCGAAGGCTAACTTGGCAAGTAGAGAAAATCCTTACGATGGATGGGTCGTTGACTCGGGTGCTCCCGATCAAATCACCCATAGAAATGATCTTCTTGATAACAAAATCACTTACACGAAGGAGGCACCCATCATCATTCCTAATGGTGACAAAATACCTATATCCGAATAAATTACTACATTTGACTCTGCAATATGCATTGCTACGTTTGCACTCAATGTTTACTTGAATGGATTGAATGGGATTACTGAAATTCGAGATCATAGTTCAATAACGTGGCGCTTTCCCTTAACAATTTTTTTTGAATATTTGTTGAAATGCCAAATCCATTGGTTCTGCTAAGTTGTGTGCATTGTTGTATGAGTATACTAATGCCACATGTAGTGCTGATCTTTTGTGTGGCTGGTTTATGAATGGTAAAATTATTGCCGAGTGTTGGAACACCCCCTGTGAAGAAACCCACTACAGAAGGATGAATTATGGTGTGTGTAGTGAAAGAGAGTATCAGATAGGAGATGAGATTTAGGTAATTAATTAATAATTTTTTACTTAATTATTAATTTTTTTCATTGTAAGTTGTAAACAACAGAATTGGTAACCTCTTTTTCCCCTTTTTTGCCTGCCTTGCGCCTTGCTAGGCATTGATTTTTTTTTAATGAAATGGCCTTTTTTTTAAAACATGACAAAAACTTGAGTCTCACAGTCTTTATGTCTTAGTAACATTTCATTTTTCGTTCAAGATGGTATAGATACAACATATCTGAGGTTTCTTGCATTAAATGCTGAAGCTGGTTCAATTATCAGAAAGGGTGGAACAACAATTTCTGATTTCCAATGCAAGGATTCAGTTGTTACGCAATTATGAGTATTTTTGAGGAATATCTGATAGGGTTATCATGGTGTCTGGAACAACCGATGAAGTTCTTGAAGCTGTTGAACTTATCCTAACTAAACTGCTCAATGAGGTAATTCTTATAACAGAGTATACATGATTTTATAGTTTATGCCTCTCATGTAACTCAACTTACAAAATATTCTTTTATAGTTTTATGCTGAAGATGGTGATTAGGTTAGCCAAGATCAAAGGTCAGACTAATTGTACCCAATAGCTCATGTGGTTGAATCATTGGAAACGGTGGATCCATGATTAGGTAAGAATGTTGCTAACACCAAATTTGATCTATTACTTTGTACTTTTAAATTCGCGACAACTTCCATTTTTGATATGTTATTACATTTATAGGTCCTTCATTGAAGACTCTGGAGCTAACATTAAGATCTCCCCTCAGGATCACAACTATATTGGATTAAATGATAGGCTTGTAACAGTGATTTACATGTCCTCTTAGAAGATTTACAATTTACTCACATTCATGTTTACATAGACCTGCAATTGGCACATGCTTGATTCTTCTCTCAATCTCATGCAGCTAAGAAAGTGTCGTCACCTTCTGATATATTTAGTAACCTTAAGGATATGGGCACATGAATTTGCTAAAGAAAGTTGACCATATGAGTTATGGATCAAATGTATTTTTTTTCTTTATATAGTTTAAACAGCATGCTAGTGTTACCAACATTCTTACTGTTATTTGTGTGTGATACCATTAGTAATCATCTTATTAAATAAAATACTATTAGTAATCGACTTTGTTATATGTTTTTGAGTGTAGTGAGAAATGGGGAGTGACTTGAAGACATGGGTTTCAGACAAATTGATGACCCTCTTGGGATATTCACAACCCACACTTGTTCAGTACCTAATTAGTTTATGTAAGTTATCTTCAAGTTAATAATATTTGTTTTGTATCATTGTAAAATTTTGATGGCATTTGGAACATTTTTGATTCTTCTCTTAATCTCATGCAGCTAAAAAAGCACCATTACCTTCTGAAACAGTTAGAGAATGTATCCAATGCCTTAGCTGTAAGTACAATATCAAATCCATATATAAATTTTATAATATTTTCTTTATTAGTGTTTTACTTTTAATATTTGTGATTGGAAATAATATGCAGTCTACAAAGAGACTTGAAAACTTTGACTGGAAATTAGACGAACAGAAGGAAATAAGTACACTTATTTCTTGACAGCAATAATGTTTTGCATGTGAAAGTTAATATTACTTTTGGATTTCTAGATTTTAATATTACTGTTATGATACCATCTTCTCTTAGGCTATTTCTGCTCCTGTTTTATCTGATGTTAGTGAACACTATTACAAAGTTACTGCAGAGGCATTAAGAGTATGTGGGGAACTTGTTCGAGTTGTGTGCCTAAACATTGAGGTTTTATCCCTTTCTATTTCATCTATTCCAAAAATATCTTGTATTTATCTAATTTTATCCTCTGATATTACTTTATTGATTTTTTTAGGTTTCTGATTTTGATTTCACCTCAGTCTGGTGGTGGTATTGCAAAACAAGCTTTGTTTTCCATTGTGATGAAATCTGACAATCCTACAGTGTAATCAGATTGTCATGCTTAACCTTGTATTTATCTTTTTCAGGCCAAACAACACCTTGCCTTCTTCAAAGTATTCTGACCAATATACCCTTCACAGCATTTACCTTTTTATCCTTCTTCTTGAGATGTCTTTATTTTGACTTATCTTTGAGGTACACACTAACCCATAAGCTTAAACTCCCTGCCTGATATCCTGTTAACTGTAAGCTTTACTAAAGTAATCAACCTTTTCACATATTTTGAGCTGGAAAGCATAATAGCTGCTACTAAGGACTTTTTAGAGAAAAATATGCTTGGACAAGGTGGTTTTGGGCCTGTTTACAAGGTAACAAAGAAAATATGCTTGAATTGAATGGTGTCGATCACCCAACTTACTAAAACCCAAAGGCACATTAATGTTCGAGAACGGCAATGTCAGTCTTGTTGCAACACAGGTTATCACTCTCACTCTCATCTTTCTTAATTTCTTTTTTTGCTCTTCAGTTGGGTGTCTCTGTTTTTCTTAAATGAAATAAATACCAACATACTTCCATGCATTTCTTAATTAAGCAATCCTACTTTCTACTTTGAAAAATCTATCATCCCAATTTTTACTACTATAATTTATTAGGCTGGCTTTTTCAAAGTACCTAATAAGAAAAATACAATGCTAATACAGGATTTGGTGTTTTTTTAAAGGACAATGCCTTAATAGGAGAAAAACTTTATTAATGATAGTACACTGCTGACTGTTGTGCTGTAATAGAAATAGAAAGAATTAATTTGTTTATTGTAAATCCTTGCTATTTGAAAACTCTATAGCAAGTTAATAGAAACACAAGGCAAATTTCACTGAAAAAAAAATTAATTTTTGCTTGTTTAAGCGGTAGGGAGTTCAAGTGTATAAATGTTGTAGGGAGTGCACACTTCTAAATTAAAAATGGGCATGCGTATATTACCTAAATCCATCACTCCTTGATGTGAGTGTTATCCTACAAAGCTTTCCACCTTTGAGAGTGGTCTCTTTTGTTATTGTGTAATATAGTAAATTAGTTATTTAACCACTTGATTTATAAATGTTTTGTTAAGATATATCATTTGACTTATTTCAGCAAAATTCATAATTAAACATAACTACCTTTTTTTTTTATATTAAGATAAAGAAAGGTCTTCATAATGCTGAATTTTTCTAATATTGGTTTTGCATCGCAGACAGTATGGTACAAAGGGAAAGTAAAGAAGTTACATTGGAAGGGAGAGTTCTGTTTGATTTACTTCAGGTCATTTCTTCTAATAAATGTTATTGAACAGGTAATTTGATATGTAGGGATAACTATAAGGTTTTGATTCATTATATTTTGTGCACAACAGGTTTCCATGATGGCATGAAAGTGGTATTAAGTATTTGCATTCTTATTATATTATACCCCTCACATTTTCCCAAACTACCCCTTCCTCTACAATGTTATTTTTGTTTCTGTGTATTTTGTGCATCAGGTAAAGTTGATGGAAGAAAGGAATATGAAGCCACTTGATTTAAATCTTGCAGCATTATCAGCAAGATGCAGTAAAGACTTGGAGTTGAATTTGGCTAAGTCATTATTGAGTGAGATGGGCCAATGTACAACTGCTTATCCATATAATCAGCTGTTTGGAGCATTAGTCTTAAAGAATTATGAAAGACAAGATGCAACTTTACTTAGTTGGAATTTGATGTACATAGTAGATTAGATGCAAATTTATATATTGTAAGAAATAGAATTGTATTACATTAAATTTATGCAATTGATTTTATTTTTTGTATATGATATTTTATTTTCTATTATGAAACAGTAAATACAAATTTAATTTGAAGATAAGTAAATCTATAAATAATATTTTTTTTAAACATTTAAAATTATGATACGCAAAAATGTGTGTCATCTTCATTTATGACATGGTCTTTCTTGACAGGGGCTTTCTTGATACGTATTGTGTGTCAATAACATGCACATCGTAAGGTTACGACACGCAAATGCGTGTCGTCTTCCATTATGACAGGGCCTTCCTTAATACGCATTGCGTGTCATAAGAGCGCGTCGTAATTGCGCATCGTAAATGCGCGTCGTTTCTCTTTATGATAGGGCCTTCCTTGGCGCGCATTTGCGCATCGTCTGAGCCTTTTACGACGCGCAATGAGCGTCGTAAAAGGCTGTTTTTCTAGTAGTGATTGTTGTTTTGTTTTTGTTAATCTTTTCAGGTGAAGGTATTAACGAATATTTTTTTTGGGGGTTCATGCTTGCTGCTTAAGGGAGAGGTATATTTTCGCAATTATGTCCTAGTTAGGATGTCCCTAGAAGCATGCTGCAGCATGTCGACCCAAGCTTCCAAGACTCAATGGGTTTCGAAGCCTTAATGAATTTCTCATTCTGAGGATTCTTCCAAACCAGGCTATATTCCAGATAGTCATTGAGCAACCACACTCTACTCAACTGAATTTAGAGTTTTCTGCTTGGTCTAAAAGCAGCAGTGGTACATTCGAATCTCTAAACCAACCTTTTTCATCCTAAAGTGCTTTCACAATCACACACAATGACATATGTCCAATAGATTTCTATTATAAACCAATTAGGGTCTAGACATTTCAAAACTCTGTGTTTATGATCCAACATCATGAGACCGTGATGGAAGTGAAACCTAAACTTTCAAAACATAAGGAATTGACGGGGAACCTAGTTCCAGATTTTAATGAAACCTTTATTTCAGTACCTATTTTTCGATACTCAAAGTCATATTCTTTCTTTTGTACTAATCTTGATCAAATGTTCGAAATCCACGACATTTTTTAAACAAGATTCAAGAATATTTTGGTTAACGAATATGATTTCCAATTGAGTGTCATTCTCAACCATTGTGACTTACTAAATTTTCCAAAGCTTACTTGTCACTAACTACACTGGTCAAACAGGTAATTTAGTTTACAACTTGTCACTATTATGTTTAGATGTGCTTTGTAACGAAATTTTAAACCACTTTCGAAAACCTAATAAAAGAAGCCCTTCGATACTTCTATATAAGTATTCGATTGTAATTAATAAGAAACCACACAAGCTGTTATTCATCTCTCTTGATGAATAACAAAGTGATCTTTTCCTGGGCCAACTGCATTTGTATCGAAATATTTTTGACATTATAGAACCAAAATTTTCTTATTTTGATTTTTATCATTTTCATTGGCACACTTTGCACTCACGAAATCCTTGAGGTTCCGAGTAATACCAACTCATGCTGATGATTTCGCAAGTCTGACATATGACTTCGCTACTCAAACCCAAAAGTGAAAGTGCCTAACCTCATTGCCAAAGGTTGGTGACGGTTCTCATTCTCTTGGGGCAAGTTAAAATCCTGTGTGATGTGGCATTTTGTGTTCCAATCCGGGTTTCAACGAAATAGTGATGATCTATTGGTCATGCTTGCCTACTTTTCTAGTGACCGGTGTAGTTTTCAAGGATCCATGTCAGCCACATTTAATGTAGAAACCACTTCAAATTCAAAAATTTCCACTCAACTATAAAAAGGTATTTAGAGGATCATTTACAATTTTATGCATACTCAATGTTCACAAGAAATTTATTCCTTTATTCTCTCTAAGTTCTTCAAGAACTTCAAAACCCTAACAATGGCGACCTGTCAATCTCAAACCACAGAAGATATTACCTCTTATCCATTCATGAAGATTCAAAGCACCAATTATCGAGTTCATGATGATGTTGATGCTTATCTAGAGGGGTTACGCATGCTCATTGTTGCTCTTCAGAATTCGGTGTTATCAACTGCCATGTTCCGTTCATTTGCTGTTCCTCTTACCCGGTTTTCACTTGTTGGTTCAATTACAACTTACATCAACATAATGCAAAATTTTACCTTCTAACTCACGAATGACAAGAAATTCAGTTTATCCAAGAAACTTTTTTCTCAAATTCTGAATATTCCCAATGTTGAACCTTTCTCTAAGGTGAACAATGCTTAAATCATTCACATGTTTAATGAGATGGGTCATCAACCTGTTCTTACCAAGATTGGTGACTTCAAGTAGTCTGGCTTACCATGTCTTTGGAACTTTATGTTTGGAATCTATCTTTGTTGTTTAACCGGAAGGATAGTAGGGTTAGACAATTGGTGATTGGAGATATAGTCCATGGTTGCTGGAATCTACTACGATTTTCAAGTGGACTATGCAACTCAGTTATGGAAGGAATTTCTCAAAAGTATAGAGAACACGAATTTTGTTGATGCGATTTCATGTGCTCGATACTAGAGCTTGATATTGGAGTTCGTTTACACAAAGGAGGGGATTCAGGTTTCTGACTTTGATGAATTGGCAGATTTTGCTACCTATCATTATTTAAAGTCAGTGGAGGATGATATTGATGTTTTTCCAGCTGTGGCTCGTATACCTGATGCGATTCTTCAAAAAGTCAATCCTATAAATCCAATTATGGGTGAATACTTATCAATGATTAATCCTTCAATCGAGAAAGGAAAGTTATTGGATTCTCCAGTTCAGGAAAGTTTTCCCCATGAAAGTCCTGAATAAAGTTTTGAAGAAAACTACTAAGGCGGATAAAACTTCGAAGAAACAGGATCAACCGAAAGTTGTTACAAAACCAGTTGTGCAAGAAAAATAGATAGTTGTTCAAGAGACAGAGGTAGTTGCTTTGAAGTCTGGTGTTCTTAAACAAATTGGAGAACATGGCGCATCATCCTAGTGAAAGATCTAGAAGCTTTTCACCATCACTTCATTACAAACCTCAAGAGACTAGAAAGGGGGTAGTTTTTTCTGAAATTCCAACACTAGTTCTCCACAATCGAAGAAGAGGCGTGCTAAAGACATGGCCAAGCACATTTCTACGAAACAAAATAAACACAAGAAGCAGGGGAAGTTGGTATTGCATGAAGATTCTACTGATGAAAAGGTGGTTCCTGAAACACCAATCACTGAGCCAATGGTTCATAATTCATCGGTGATGGATTCTCCAGTTCAATCACTTTTTGAGGAGATTCAAAATCTTGATGGCAATGTGTAAACTTCAATAGTGGGCACAACCATTAATGACAGTGAACAATCCAAGCAAACAACTCCTTAGTAGACAATGTTCATACCGCCCGAAGTTTCAATATTGAGTAACTTCATGAGGAGGTACGAACTTTAAACATCAAAGCAAACATATCTAATATGGATGTAAATGTTAATATGGGTGAAGACGTTTTACATACCGAAGCCCAAGGTACTACTACTTTTGTTATAACTTCGTCACTTCTTACTTCTGTTCTTGACACCACTGTTTCCTTACCACCATTTATTGTTCCCAATACATCTCAAAATCCTTCGGTTTCTCATTCTCTTACTTTTGACAATATTATCCATCAACCTATTACCTCTCTGTTTCCTTCCCAATCCCCTGAAGAACCACCACCTGTTAATGACGATGATATGAATGATGGTGGCTTTATGGGTTCTTTTGCTGAAACTCAATTCAATTATGAGGAAGAAAACATTCCTGATCATATGTTATTGCTAGGAAAGTAGTTTAAGATCCTGAACAAGAAGTTGAATTCGTTACATCGGTTGCAAGCTGATGGCGGTGGTAAAAATTCGATATTTTCTCTTGATGTTGATGTTATGTTGCAAGCCCAAGAGCATCGGATTTTGGATAAGCTTAATCACATGGAAGAGTATGATAATTTATGGATCAAATCTCAACTTGATTCTTTCAATACTGCCATTCGTGAATTAAAAGAAACTGCCAACTCTCATCGTATTCTTTTTGTTTAAGATGTGAAGACAGTTCGTGAGAATTTCAATCTCAATGTTCAAGAATTAAGAGAAGACATGACGAAGGAGATAGCTGCTTTAGATTACAATTATTTTTCTCTTCACAAAAATGTAGATATAATTGCTTGTGTTGTAGCTAAAGCAGTTGAGCTTTATACTTCCTTGGGGGTGAAACTTGATTTGAAAGCAAAGGTTGATGCTACTATATTTGGGAGTGTTGAAAAGTTACTGAAAGAGTTAAAGGATCTTATGTAGAAGTATGATCTTTTTAAGTCTTCAGTTGTTTCTCCTGAATCATTCACTGA